TCTATGGCATGAAAGGAGGCGGGCGACGTGCATGCTTTCAAGGAATGCTCGACTTTTAATTTACTTACGTTTTCTCTTATTTCCCGGTGCCTTCTCCCTCCTCTGCTTCTCTGAAGGAAAATGCTTTGATACAAGGGACTGGAAAACTCCCCTAAAGCAAAGAAGGGAAGAAAAAAGAGAAAATAAATCTCTTTGATTGTAATATCAAAGCAATCGCAACAACATTGGCCAGCCCTGACAAGACATGCATTCCTGGTTCCCGTCTTTAGAGCCGTCAGGTGCCAACAGGCAGATAATGATGCTGATGTGTGATCTAATAAAACCACTCAGACACGTCTACTGCAAGGCTCAAGGTCACAGAGTTCAGAGCACTCACAACTTCCTTTTTTCTCCTTTTTTATGAATGACTCACTCATTGAGTCAATATACTGAACAAAAATATAAACAAAAGCCATTTATATTTCGGTTCAGTGCAGATTGTAAGGCAAAAGAAAGAGGTTGGGCACTTTGAACACACTTGCATGTGTGAAATGCCACCAAAACTGGAGCATTACGTTGAAGCATGACATCACAAAATGACGTGAAAGAGGCTGAGAAATAACAGTCTCCAGTAAAACTGCAACCAAGAGCCCAAACTGGGTCAAAACAGTCAGAAAGGTACCAAACAGGAAAGTTATGTTCCTGCTAGTGTGGCTCTGCATCCTTTCATCCAGAAACAGTAATACTAACAAACACTCTAAATACACTTTTGATCACCTGTCCTCAAACACAAAGGCAGAGCGGTTATGTTTAAAAAAGACTGCGTGCGTATATGTCTCAACCACGAGCAAAATATCTCATGAAACAGTGAATGTATTTGAATGAATGCAATCATTTGATTAACATCTTCAACTGATTCACTTTTGGAGTAGGGGTGCACTGATAAATCAGCTGGCCGATACCTGCATGAGAAACCGATCTTACCAATTTTTTTACTTTTACCAACAATTGTCTGAACTTCATTTATATTTCAGAGCACTACCTCATGGCCAGTTAAAACAAGTTTGTATGTTTCTAGAATATTGTTCAGGGGTATGCTTTTCAATAATATAATGTTGGAAAATTGAAGGTGCATTGTGACATTATAACACCTGACAGTGTCGCTTATAAAACAAAATCGGTATTGGCCAAAATCGGAATCGGCAGGTCAGACTTTTTAGAAATCGGTGATCGTGATCGGCCAGAAAACTGCAATCGGTGCACCCCTAACATTTTGGAGTCAAAACTATGACTTTTGGTATTGGTGCAACTTTAGCTTTTTGAAATATTTAGCATTTCTGCCATTTTGATATTACAGAAAATGAATTGAGCTCTTTTTATTTACAAAAGTGAAAATTTATACTTTTTCCTGCTACTTTCAGACTATTTCAGCTGTTTTTTCAGCTGTTTTGTGCTCCTTTCAGATTCTTTCTGCTAACTACAACATTGTTGTGCTTCTTCTAACTTCTTTCTGCTAATTTCAGTTTGTTCTGCTCCTTTCAGCTCATTTCTGCGTTTCAGATTTTTCTACTATTTCAGCTACTACTATAGCTGTTTTTCAGCTATAATATCTGTTTTATGCGAATTTGAGCTTTTTCAGCTAATTCCACATTATTTGCACTCATTAATTTTTTTTAGCCTAATTCAGCAAAAATGTGCCCTGTCCACTTCCTTCTGGTAATTTAAGATCCCTTCTGATTTTTCAGCTACTTTTCAGTGGATTTTTGATTATTTCAACTTTTTTCAGATAATTTCCAATTTATGTGCTCATTTCTGCTTCTTTCAGCCCAAGTGGGAAAACCTGTTGTTTCTGCTTTCTTCTGCTAATTTAAGCTTGTTCAACTTTTCAGCCACTTTTTTATTCTTTAGCTAATTTCAGGTGTTTTCTGATAAATTCAAGTTTTTTCTTGGGGATTTCTACTACTTTCAGCTTACCGTAATTAACTTCTTTCTACTAATTTCAGTTGGTTATGCTGCTTTCAGGTTTTTCTGCTAGTTTTAGCTTTTTATACTATTTCAGCTAGTTTTTAGCTGTTTTTGTGTTAAATTTAGCTTTTTTAGCAAATTCCACTTTTTAAAGCTCATTTCAGCTCCTTCTATTTCCTTCTGGCAAATTAAGCTTCTTCCTGCCTTTTCAGCTACTTTTCAACACTTTTTTTTGCCAACTTCAGCTTTTTTCTTTAGCTGATTTCCTAACTTTTGTGCTAATTTCTGCTTATTTAAATTTAAATAATCAAATATTTCAGCTACATTTCAGCATGTTCTAGCTAATTTCATCTGTTTTTCAGCAAGTTCTTCAGCAATAAGCATTCACACTGCGTTTTTGCAGGAAATGCAGTTTCTCTAGTTTATTTTAAAACTTACTCTGCTGCAGAAACAAATCTGTCAAGATGTCCGTCATTCTCATCCAAGACTTCTCTGGTGCGTGATTCTCCAGTTGACTGCAGCCCGATGACGATGCACTGCAAAGGAAAAAGAAAAGGAGAAACAAAGAACGATGCACATCAACTCTTTGTTATTGTCGAATTAAAATGACTTTTAAAAGATGCAAAGAAAGTGTCATGGTCAACATTTCTGCTGTTGTGCTGCAGAGGAAATGGACAAATTCTGCCTCAGAGCTTTAAGGCTTTACAAGGTTTTGTGTCACACGAGTGATTAGGTGTGTATCCACTGACCTTTCCAGCCTCCAGCTCTTTCTGGGCCAGTTCCACTAGGGAGCGCACTTTGGCAGCGATACAGAGATATTTAAAGAAGCGCTGGTGAGACGACCAGAACTGTCCCCACAGAGACTTCCTGCTGACCAGGCCCAGCTCGTCAGCCGCCAGCATGAACACCTGCAGCGCCTCTGCCCACTGCACACAAATTCACATCTGTCACTTCCCAATTTTTCTCTCTTTTTTGGGGGTGGGGGGAACAAACAAAAAAGCCAAAACCAGATCAAAAGAGGCACAAAACTGACCAGTTTGGCAGCTTTGTTGTAGACCTCTCTGATATCGCTGTCCAGTCCAATCTCCTCGATGCGGAAGGACACTCCAGAGAAGCTCAGCTGCCTGGCAATATACATCCCACTTACTTTCATGTCCATGGCTACAATCTCCATGGCTCCAACCCCTCTGCACACAAATTGCAAAGAAAAGACGTATATAATGTTCATGGCCCATAACTACAAAGTGATTGCCAAGGACTTCACAATGGTTTAAACGTCTATAAAGGAATCTACATACCTCTTCTCAATGGCATGCAGGAAGTCTTCAAATGTTCTGAACGGTGTGCCCTCACCCCATATTCCCAGGCGGCTCATATAAATCATGTTCTTTGGCTCAGAGGCACCTGGAGAAGACGAGTGTCAGTTTTTAAAGAGCCTGTTGTATTTCCTTGTTAGCATGAGCGTTCACTTATCTGTCAGCCCACCTGTGGCACTGGCGTACACCACTCTGGCCTGTGGCAGCTTGTTCTGCAGGTCAAGCACTGCTTTGCCCATCTTAGTGGAGGTGGCGTTCTTGGCTTTGTGGCATTCGTCGAAAATAATCTGTTGTGGTGAGAAGTTAGGGCTAAACAACAAATGCACAGTGCATTGTTTTGTAGACAACAAGGTAAAACGTTGGATGTAAAGTTCAGCTCAGTAGCGAGCAGCACATGGAATGCACATGAAAATGTAAGAAAGAGCAACCCTAGAATATCTCTTACTGTTTTTAATGCTGGAGGTTTAGACAAATACCATCTTATATTGAGTTATAGCTGGTATGATCAAATCTTAATCTTCCTGTTGCCCTTGGGTCAAAAATTACACACAAGCCTTCAGTTTTGAGACTGAGGTCTAATGGGTCATTCTGACTAAAGGGCAGCAATAAGGTTTAAAGCATTGTTATGGAGAATCATTAGATGTCAAGCTCAGAAAATATGTTGTAAAATGTACAACATTCATTTATTATTTGTATTCACATGTACAATCTAAATGACATTCAAACACTAATAAACTGAGGTGTAGCTCGATATCTGTAAAAATGACCAAATTATAGACATTTTTGTTTTTCTAAGGTCAGCTGGCAGCCATCTTGATTTGGATTGACCACAAAAGTTGTACATTTAATGATTACTGTATATCCTGAAAGTAAAAAAACAAGCCTGTTCAGTGGTTAATGAGATACTTTGCAAACTCATAGACAGCAGTGACTCCCATTACCCGTAGTTACTAGCAAATATTTAAATGCAGGTATTTTAACAAAGGGGCTCAGAGTATGTGTTGAGAATCAGTTTCATCTATTAACAGTGCAAACTCTAGGTGGATATGTGATCCATTGAAATTTATTTCAAACAATAGTTGGTCCAGTTTAGATAAATGGTGAGTGAAAACAGTTGCAGTGACGTAAAATACAAATTCATTTTTAATTCATTAAAAATGCATTCATTAATTACTTCATGTTTAAAATAGTTTTCTGGTTAAAATAACTTTTTCTGTAAGGGTTCTGATGTTAAGATTTATTTATCTGTGATCGACTTGCTGAGTTCTGATAGACGTATGTGATCGATTAGTCATGTCTGAGGCACTTGAAGGAGGAGGAGCTCTCGACAATGCTTCATTCCCGCTACAGCTGCCTGAATGAAAGCATCGTGTCAGAGTATCTTTTTTTACTTTTATAATCCACTTTCAGGTAGTTACAGAATGTTTGTGTGTTTAAAACGTTTGTAAAACATTCTCTGTTGAGTTTTTGAGTATTTTCACCTAAAAATTGAGTGGCTTTTATCGAATGGCTGATGTTTATGATCGTGATTTAAAATGTAGTTTAAAGCTAATTAGCTTAGTTCAGTCTGCCGTTCTCATGTCACCACGAGGCGGGTGTTAGTAATGACATTGCGTGTGTGTAGACGGTCCAGCTAAGCGAAGTGTACGTTCGAGGACTGAAAATGAGACTGTTTTGACTACATTTATGGTTAAATGCATTGTTTTTATTCTGGTACAAGAACAAATGAACGTTTCTATTTTAACTGATATTTTAACAAAAATATAAGAAAGTATGTGTGAAAGATGTGAAATAATTTATTTTATACAAACATTTTTTGTTATTTAACTGCTATATTTTATGACATAAAGAGAAAAGTTGTTCTTTGATGCTATTGTAAATAAATTACCACTACAGCTGCCTGAATGAAAGCATCGTGTCAAAGTGTCGTTTATTATCCTCTTTCAGGCCACAACAGATACATATAAAACCAACAGAGATATTTCCATTTTTGATTTTTTTTAAGGTCACTTGACTGTGGCAGCCATCTTGATCTGGGTTGGTACCAAAAATTATTTAGTTGTAGATGTACTTCTAGTTATTACTTCCTGCAAGTTACATAAAAATGTGTCCAGTGGTCCACAAGATACTTTGCTAGCAGATAGGCACACAAACAGATGCACACAGATACGGGCAAAAACATCTTTGTCCACCTCTGCCTTTTGGAGGCGGGTGATGAATAAAGGATACAACTCCATCAAAGTCCGGCTTGCACCAATCCAGGATCTGCTTGATTCTTGTCCGGTGCTGCCCTCCAGCCTGACTCTCACCAATCAGCGCTGAGTAAGTTGCAAACAGGACTCCTTCTGAGGTAGCTGTGTCTCCATACTTAATCTAGCAAAACATTTAAACGATTCAAATGTTAAGAAAACGGTTCATGCACTGTTATAATGCAGATATTTTTAGGAAATCAACTCCCCCATGAACACACCTTGTTTAAGGCGAGCACAGGAATATTCTGTGCGTTTATGTCTTTGAGATCTCGCTCTGCGTCATATTTCAGGTCATTGGATATGCTAAACCTGAGGGCAGAACATAAAAAAAAAGAAAAATCTAGCTCAGTTTTACACAACAAGCTCCTACATGTTGAAGACGACCTGACATCTGATACTTCACAGACGTGGAGCCTAAACAGCTCTTACCACAGTGCTTTCTTTCTTCCCTTAATGAAGTTCTCCAGGATGATTCCTGCCACGGTGCGCCCCTTTCCAACACCGGCACCATCTCCAATGAGGAAGCCCGCCCTCTGGTTGTTCTGAAGGATCACCTCATGTTGCTGAAGGACCAACGAAAACAAGACGCAGGAAGAATTAACACCTTAATTATTAGTTTGCTAGGTGTTGCGTTCTCGTGTCAGCACCTGGCAGGCATAGATGACAGCTTCTAGCTGCAGAGCAGACAGAAGCCCACTGTCAACAGTCGGCTTGGGGATAGCCAAAGTGTATGTGACGTCAGGAGGAGGGACACTGGACAGCGTGTTGGTTTCCACCACTATGTCAGGATGAGAAATTCCTATAGTGGCTGAAAAGAGAGGGGGAAACGTTAACCTAAAACTGCTCAAGCTATTACAAAAAGATAGAAAGGCAGCTGATAGTTTATTAACATACATTTAGAAGGTTTGTACTCAGCGTATGTGTCAACATGCCCAAGTTCTTCTGCCTCTTCCTCATCGGCATCCTCTTCCTCCACTGGTGGTGGCTGTGTTCCCTGAGCCTGGAAATAACAATGTGACCCCGATGACATTCACTTTCTTAACAACTTAGTAAGAGTAATTATGACGGAGTAAAGTAACATAAAAAAGATGAATACAATTTCTGAACATGTACAACTCCACTTCCAAATAGTTGGGACAGTGCAGATTTTTTTTTCTTCTTCAGATCTCATAAATCCATATTTTATTAAAAGTCGAACATTGAAAACAATTCAAATTGTTAAACCAAGAAATTGTACCATTTAAAAAATTAAATAAAATTGGAATTTTACAGCAGCAACAACTCTTAAAAAGCTGTGATAGGTCCATGTTTCCCACTGTGAAACCACCTTCTCTTCTTTTAACAACAGTCTGTACGTCTAAGAACTGAATAAATACATAAATAAATAAAAACCAGCTGCTAGATGTTAATGAGACAAATGTCCCATTCAGTCCTGGTGCTGGATTGTTTTTGTTTTATGATGTGTCAAATGTCTTCAGTTAAGGAGAGGCCTAGACTGCAGACAGCCCAGTTCAGCCCTTGGACTCTTCTATTACAGAACCATGTTGCCATTGCCAAAGGCACTAATGCACCCCCATACCATCAGAGAGGCAGGCTTTTGAACTGTGGGATGTATAGTTTGGATGAAGCTTTAATCAGGATTTGTGGGTGGCACAACAAAAAGTGTTTACAGACAATTATTTGTAAAAGTTTTCCTGAACATATGCAGTGATATCCAGAAGACGCTTCCTTCACTCCTCTCTCAAACCAACGTTCCTCTCTTTCAAGGATGTGCACATCTTAACAGGGGCAGCCCAAGGTCATTAGGCTGTTGGCCCGACTTGTGCATGTGAACAGCTAGTTCTGGATGTCATCATCAAACTGGATGAGACGGTGCTATTTATAAGACTGTGTTTGTTGCAGCTCCTCTGACTGAAGAAGTCTTTTGGATAAAAGATGAAACGTTTCAACCCGTCCAGAGGACCTGACTCAACCTTTTAAATGCAGTGCTGCCTGTGGGGCAAAGATCACAGCCATCCCACATTGACTTTCAGACTTGTCTTTCTGCGCAGATTTCTCCAAATTCTTGAAATCTTTAGATAGAGATGAAATGTAGATAATGGGACATTCAAAATCTTCCCAATTTTCCAATTGAGGAACATTATTCTAAAATTGTGCCACTATTTTGAGATGCCGTTTTTTGGCCGCCAGTTGAACCTCTGCCCATTTTTACTTCTGAGAGATTAGCTCTCTAAAATTTCCGTTCAATACCCAGCTCTCTAACTGAATTGTTGCCAGTTACCTACACAGTTGCAAAAATGGTCCTCTGGCTGTATTTTCTTTACTTTTGCCACTTACCGGTGGTTTTACAGCTTTTTGTTGCCCCTGTCCCAACCTTTTTGACATCTGTTGCTGCCATCAAACCCAGAATAACCCTAAGTTTATTTATTTGATTTTCTTTTAGACAATTACTTAGTTTAAACATTTGATATGTTTACTGATTCATTGTGGAAAAAAATACATGGGTTCATGTGATCTACTAATAATTGCATCATTTTTATTTTACATTTTACAAAAGGTCCCAACTTTTTTGGAATTGAGGCTGTAGTTAAAGAAATGCAGAGAAACCACATTGTTTTATCTTTGCCAGGTAAAAGTTATCGTATGAAACAGAGAAGCGGCAGATCTCTTTTTGACACACAGAGGATTAATGTACTACCGCCAAAAAAAGATCAATTTACATTTTGTGCAGCGTTCATTTGCATGAAGATAGATGAGCATGCAAACTGCAGACATGCTTGTATCATCTGCAGCATTATAAGTTTTTCAGAGAGCACGGGTCATCAGCTAAAACCTCGTGTGTCTGCTGTGTCAAAACGAGACCCCCTCCTGATTAGTAGACAATGTTTCTGTTAAACAATAATAAAAACTTCCCCACGCTACAGACGTACAAATCAGACATATAACACAACCTATCTGTGTGTTCTTGGAAGACGGTTTGTGAGTTTATTTAAGTAAGACACTGCAGAGGTTGGTGTTGCTACCTGGAATCCTCCTAAAGGTGGAGTGCTGATAATAGCTGTTATATCATCCAAACTGGCCAAGTTTTGAAACCTGCCGGTGCCATTCTGCTGTTAACAAAACATATCATAAAGAAATACAAACTCAAATCAAATAAATGCAGTCGAAAAAATCAAAACAAAGTAACTAAAATAAAGAGTAATAAATAGTCTTTCTAAGCATGTGGGTACTTTGTGGGTGTCGTTTAGAGTAGGGCTCAGTTGTACGTGTCTAGGAAACAAACTGGATGGAATGAGGGCAGAATAAAAAAAAGAAAACATGATGAGCTTTCAGAAAGTAGGTGAAATAAATGTGCTCTGATCAAGTCAGGATTAATGAACCCATCAAATTTATCAGGGCTTCAACAGTAAAGTGAAAAGACTCGGGAACACATCTTGAAAACTTAACGATCATTAATTTCATTACAAGAACAAGGAACAAAAACTGGACAGGATTATTTAACTAAAAACTGAGTTCTTAACAATTAATAACATAAGCTAAAATAAAGAGAGTGAGTCCTGCAAAATACCATCAAGGCCTGTATTACATTGTGTTTTAGTGCATGCCATGTATAAATATTGTGCATTTTAATAATAATATTATTATTATTAATTTATTAAGTGTGATTAAGGATATGTTATTAATCCTTGGCAGAGACAAGCCACTTGTTTGTGTATACAATCACATGTGGTACATGAGGTGGAATGAAATTGTGTACACATGGTCCCAGTTACATCCAACAATAGCAAAAATATAAAGTGTAAAAAGAAACTAATAAAGGTCTAAGAATAATAAGGATCTTTTCACTGGACTGTGACTGTTGGAGATTAGTTGGTGAGATAAAATTGCAAGAAATTAGTCATATTTTGTATTTGCAACCTTGCGGCTGCAGCCGATTCAGGACTGTGCTCAGTATTTTGTTTTCCACCTCCACCCACATCATACCCACCATGACCTGCTTTGTACACACATTGGCAGCCCTGAGTTTATGATTTAATCTGCTGAAGTACACTTGAGAAAAGAAGACAGGCACATTTGGACAAGTTTTCTTTAACAATTAGTGTTTGTTGTTGGTGTGGTCTTTAGCTGTGGCCACAGATGTTTATGGTCATAGGAGAGCTCCAATGCAAAAATCAAAGTAGCTCTAGCTCTCTAAAGTGTATACAAAGTACTTTAAGACACATTTGAGTCACCATGGACATGTCTGTGAATATTTTCTGACAATATTTGTTGCACCTTTTATTTTAACATGTTCAAAATTCAAGTGACAAAATTGTGATTCTCTGTGACTCACGCAAGGAAATTGAGAAGCCCCTGCAAATGTTTAGAGACATTTTGAAGACTCCTTCACCAACACTGCTAACTAATCACCAGCAGTCACAGCAGAGTGAAACACTGTATTTAAGCTGGTATCTCACTGGACTAGTTGGTGAACTGCATTCATGAGGGACTTTCCAAAATGCCTCAAAACATTTGTGCTTTGTTTGTTTTTTCTCACAAGTTGCATTTGCCCACAATCTTGTGGCTTAAGTTTTGAAAAGTTGTGACTTTTTTTTCTCTTCTTAAAACTGTTGCAGAGTTGTCACAGGCTTCCTAAACTTGTCTCAGCTTGGTCCTAGGCTTCTCTAATCTGCCTCAAGAGCACCAGAGCTGCATTTTGACTCCAGCACAGGAGCTCCCTGACAGAAAACATCAAAAGCAAGTGTCCAGATATAAAACAGCGCTGATGAATAACAATTAGTGAAAAACTGGTGCAATTTGTGAAAATTAAAAAAAAAAGAAGTAATCCAGCAGATTAAACCATAAGAGACTGAATGCCATCTTCAACAGCCTCAGCTCAATGAGGTACTACTCTTAGTAAGAGAAAGTAATCCTTGTTTAACCAAATGCCTGTCCAGCTTTTTAAATTATACAAACAAGAATTTTTTTTTTTTTAATAGTAATCAAACTGAGTCAAAACAAGCTGGGATGATTTAAACTGTAAGAATGAACACAAGCTTTATAATGTAAGGGGAGTAAAACTCAGCAGTGAGCAACACTGAGATGGACAATATGACCATTGTTCGCTTTTTGGTCTTTACCCCCCCCCCCCCCATTTCATGTGATTATTAAAAGGCCTTGATTATACAGTAGTTAGATGTAGTTACAGTAATAGTAGTTTGAGCTGCTGCTGTAATAACTAGTCTTTATGTGACTGATTGCTGCTGACCTCTAAGTGGCTCTGTGCTGGTGTGGCGGTGCTGCTAGTGTTGACGTCCCACAGCGTGGGAACGCTGTCCAGGGTGTCGCCGCTGACGAAGGTTTGAGAGTCAGCATACTCTGACAGAGAGTCAGCCGGAGAGGAGAACAGAGAGTTCGAGAGGTCATCGATGCAGGACAGGTCCTGGAGACAGGAAAAACAAAAAGAGAACAGAGGGAGGGGGTCATTTCACAAATCAAAATAAAACCAGGTGCAGGTCTTAAGACATTTCTTCTGATACTAAAATTAAACAACACATGAATTATACTCATGTACCCTTTATCAGAAACAGCACATAAAAAGTAACATGCATAACACCGATAATAAAAACATGTCAAATGAATGTCAATTAGAGTAACAACCACACATGGGTAACATATGGCCCAAGGGCCAAAAGTTGCCCTAAACATCCTCAAATACAAACAAAATAACTTCAAATAAACAAGTACGTTATTTTTTGTCCTATAAGTCGTGATTTTTTTGCATAATTTGCATGCCCTGCGACTTATAGACCGAAGCAAAGCATTTATGAATTTTCCCCCGTATTTATAAACCAATTTTTGGCTGAGATATGACCGTTTTCATTAATTCTGACTGACAATATTGAACACTACCATTTTCAGCCACTAGATGGCACTCGAGTAGTAAGGCATGCCATTGTATCATGTAATAGGTAAAAGTGGCTGTAATGACAAATTCAAAAAAGTTCAAGACAAAAACAACTGGACTTTATTTATTATACTTTACTTTATACTTTATTGTTTTTGTCTTGGTATATATTTTTTTTTAATTTACCATGTCCTGGATGACTGAGAATCTTCACCAGCTATTAATGACATCATTGGTTTGCCATAGCCTGCCACCTTCATTCTGCTCGCTGCTTGGAGCGACCGTCAAATCAGCTTCTTTTCGCTGCACTGCTCCGGCGAAATGCAGCTAATTTGACCATTAAAGTGCATTTATTAAGTAAAAGTTCAACTGAGACACACTCTGCTATAAAGTCAAGCAAACAAAGAATTGTTTTTAGGTGTTAATCTTGTTAAATTATTAAGTCCTCCCGTGCACGCTCCCGCAGCCGCCATTTGGCAGCCAATCGATTTTTGGCACAACACCGGTCCACATTTCTGGGTCGTCAGCAGTGACACATAATAGATGTGACATATTTATGAATTTTTCCAATTTATTAGACATATTTGGACTGATGCGACTTATAGGGCGGTGCGACGTGTACGGCGGAAAATACGGTAAAAACATGTTTCATATTAATGAATGTTAAGGTAAATAAGAGCACGTTCTATAATGACTTTTTATCGAGTAATCACTTCCCAATAAGGGCCTCTTTATAAAGAATTTAACGTCTAATACTTTATTTATGACTATGAAAATACTTGTAAAGCATTATTAATCATTTATATAACACTCTTTTTAAGGCAGACTATCTGCTGTACTTTTAGTAATTTCTTCAACAATTAGATTAAAAAAATAAAACACCTAAATGTTGTTACTTTTTAAAGTGCTTCCAAACATAGGAACAGCCGACATATTTACAAAGCATTAATTAATCCCTTATAAAAGGAACTTTATTGAATGTACTGTAGTACCGATTTTTTCCAACTAAAAGTGCCATTTATGTTTTAAAAATAAGGTTAGTAAATTCAGAGGTTCGCTAACAGATCCAAACTAAAAACCAATGTATCAACGGGGTAAAAAAAAAAAAAAGATACATGCTCAATATTTTACACCTTTATATTTATTGTTACCAGTGTCCAGAGGTAATTTGTGTGATCTGCCAAGACACTTTGAATGTGTACTGAAAAATAAAATTGTTATTACTGGAGCAAAAGAAAAGGTTAGCTATACGCTGTCAAACAAGCAAAACTGAACCACATTGTGTTTCTGAAAGATGGTGTAATTTCATGTAAGATCAATGAGGACTCATTTACATTAATTCATAACTGCGCACTCCTGGCATGCACAGCAATACACCACTGTGTATTTTCATCATTGCTGCGCTCATTGGAGCAACACGAACAGCGTAAAAAGTATATACGGTAATCAGATGTGTGAAGGAAAGCATATGGGACAGAAAACAAGGGAGAGGCATAAAGACAAACTGTTTCATCAGTTCAGGTTGTGCTACCTGACATTTGGCACTCTACTTGTATTCTTTCCAAGCCGTTAGCGTGCTCTTTGCTTGGCTCCCATTGGTTCTCAGGGCCCCCAGGGGCATATAGAAAGAGATAGGAAGTGAGTGATGATAGTGGTGATGATAGACAAACTAAACACAACCAGTTTTTAGGGAACTGCTTCTCCTCTATAGTAAGATTAACACTTTTCATGAATATGTCTACACTTTGACCATACAGCCCCCTCCCAAACACACACACACACCATTTCTGTAAATAATAAGCCATTGCACACACAGGATATTGTAACAATTATGGTGCCCGAGGGAGCGATGCACCACTTTCCTGTGACTTCATGTGATTGATTCAGAAAACGGTCATAAACAAATTAAAGACGCTTGAGAAACAACTTGTTGTGATATTAGCTAAACTTTGTAGAGAGAGTCCACATACTCAAGATGAGTAAACAGTTGAGTGTGGGTTGTTTAATTTTAAGCAGGATCTGAGATAATGGCCTGACTGTCAGTTTTAATATTTGTCAGCAGCAGCTTGCAAACATTTGCTCAAAGGGCTACAGTGTTCACTGTTGCTTGACAAAGCTGCTCGGGGAGGCTATGAGCAACACTTTAAATGTCAGACAAGCTCAGTATCATCCACTTTGAACGTTTAAATATGAAATCTGTTTGGGAGCTTAAAATTCAATGTTACAACGTCCAGGTGGAAACGAGTTTGATATGGTTCCTGTTTTTAAATGTAAATATGCTATGTCTTGTCATTAACATGTGGAGCAGCGAGCAGCTATTTAAACGGCCAGGGAGTGGTTGGGGATGAGGTGTTGTGCTCAAGGACACCATGACATGTGGGCATGGGAGGGAATTGAACCTGTGACTTCCTGGTTCCAAGTTGGCTGCCCTACCACTGCTCCACAGCAGCCCCTGTTTTCATGCATACAGTATGTGCACATTTTGTTCTGCTTATTAAGTCTCTTTTCATTAAGAGCAGCACGATGGATCAGTGGTTAGCACTGTTGCCTCACAGCAAGAAGGTCCTGGGTTCAATCCCCAGTTGGACCTGGGGTCTTTCTGTGTGGAGTTTGCATGTTCTTCTCGTACTTGTGTGGGTTTTCTCCTGGTACTCCGGTTTCCTCCCACAGATCAAAAACATGCATGTTAGTCTGTCTTCAGGTCCAGACCTCTTGCAAAAGAGATCTGTGATCTCAGTGGGATTTGTCTGGTTAAATAAAGGTTAATAAATAAATAATCCAAAGAAGCATATTTATCGCCTGTCACTAAAAGGTGAGCGATGTTTTCACCTCAATCTGCGTGTGTCTTCACGGTTCTGTTGGTAAGCCGTGTGTCTCATGAATCACTGGATTTGGATTTGAGCAAAACTCTCAGAAAGTAATCATACGATTGATTAACCTTTTGGGTCAATTCAATAAAAAAAGAGTTACATCGTCCGGTTCTAAAATGTGAGCACAATGTACTTTGAAACTGAGAATTACTTTTATAGAAAAAGATTATGCAGAGTATAAAGCAGTGGTTCTCAAACTGTGGTCCCCGCAAAAAAAAGGATTTTTGTTTTACAAGCACATAGATGTTTAACAATTTGTTAAAATACACCAAAATGCAGGAAATCACATTTACTTTATTCAAAATTTTCTGGGGGTGGACCCTGAGACCCCCCTCTGGCCCACCCACTATTTGCACTCCGGCATCAATCTGTTTATAAATGAGGCCCTGTTACTTGGTATGACTTCTGCTGTGATTCTGTTCAGTTTATTGTCAAGAGTTTCCTTAATAATGTGAAGAAGTGGCGATACATTTAGAATGTTCATTGTGTGAATAGGGGACCTTGAGTACATCATTTCGTTCCACCTCATGTACCACATGTGATGCGAATGACAATAAAGAACCTTGAACCTTAAAGTTTTCAAGTGGTTTTTGACGCTGTTAATTTTCTCAAAACTGTAATTTTTGGAAGTTGAAATTATTAATTATAATCATTATTATAGTTGAGGGGGTCCTAGAAACTTTTTCTCTCCTGTAAGGGGTCCCTGAACCTGAAAAGTTTGAGAAATATAGAGCACAAAGTTCAAAAACATCAGATAATAATTATCAGGTAGGATGCTGCTGACTTGGTTTAACAATGTGCTGCCACTGAGAAGCTGCTCAGACCTTTGTCAGGGCTGCTTGTAAGACGCTACTCTCTCACAGTTCATCTGAAACTGTTTCACAGGTACGCGAGGATGAGACCTGGAGCTTTAAGAGTCAACATGACGACACTGTGCAAGAACGGACCATCGTGAGAGCGATTAACCGCAGGCAGACCAAAACCTGGCTCTGCACTGTGTATATTTTTACCCTCTGACAATCAACCGACAGAGACGAACTGACCACAACATTCAATGGGTTTAATTTTCTGAAGCCTCAGCTTATCAAAGTTTTCTGGTAAAACTCTGATTATAGTTTGTTGTTCATTCCACCTCTATGTTTCTTTGCTCTTTTGTTCTTATGTTTATATGTGTGAGTGTTTGCTTCCTGTGAGCAAGACCAGGCATGATCACTGCAGGAAGATGATAAATACGTAGTAGAGACAGAGGAGTAGACCACATTCAGCTTTCCCTTTGTTCAATTTGTTTCTTTATTCTCAGTCATTTGCAAGTTGATATTTTTGTTTCCATTCAACCTTTATTTATACGGGTTAGTCTCATCGAGTCACGAGGACTCATTTACATGAGAGACCTGTTTTAGACAAAACCACAGATAAGGTGCACACAACAACAAATAAAATGCATCCATACATTTCTCATCAGTGCATGCCTTTGTTCATCATCCTGCACCCTTAACACTTTTGACTTAGAATATATACTGGCAGGTAAACACAGACTGGACAAGAGACACTATGTCACGAGAGGCTTCATTTCATGGAAGCACACATGCAGAAACACAGAGACAACCACAGACACGTGTTTCAGCACTTAAACTATATAAGTTAGCCTCAAATTCTTCATGATAT